GACAACTAATCCTCTTAGATACTTGTTATAAACCAAGCGTTTTCAGAGCCTTTCTAGACGGAAACCTCTGCTATGGTTGATTTCATAAACCCTACCTCATCACCATGAGTATGCTTTGAGAATAAAATAAGAAGAAGAACTCGATTAATGGGTTTCTAATGTACATCCCTACCCAATATATTCCCTTATTTAGTGAATTAACATCCCAAAAGGGTAACTTAGTGCCCTTTGCTAATTTAGTGGTGTAGCTATTCATTAAACTAAACAAGTCTTCCAAGGTCTTTTTCGATGCTGCCAGATCGTAAAGTATTCAACAATATTTCTGAATAATAGTTTCAGAACTAGGAGTGCTATTTGTAGAAGCAAAAGAAAGGTGGGCAAAATCATCCTCAAGAGAAGAGCAATTTAGGATAGGTCAGAAAGATGTAAGGATTGGTGATTAGCTCAGGGCGGAAGGAGAGATACCACGATTGCTTAGCATAAAATTGGTCAAAGGATCGGCTTCACTTGTCTCTTTGACGAGTTCTAGTGTGGTGCTAAGAATGGCAAGATTCACACCATCTTGGTCTTCATACCTTCCAGAATGATGTAAACCTGTCCAAAACGCCATTGGAAGTTATAGCTGGACGTCTTAATTATGCATTCTTTTCCATTTGTAAAAGTAAGTTTCGAGACTATCAGTAGTATCAGCAGTATTCCTCCTAGTTCGTGTAAGCTGATGATGGAATATTAGTTGAACTGCTCCCACAAATTTATGGGTATGCTCTATGTCGCATATCGTATTACGTGTCAAGAATACACACATCACTACCACAATGCGAGTTCGGTCCAGCAAAGGATGCGGATGAGACGCAGACCAGGTCCAGACTGCAGTTCAGTCTGGATGAGATTACCATCTTGGAAGCAAATCTATGCTAGGTTTGATGAAAGTATGCAATTGTGGGAAACTTGAAATACCAATACTTTCTCACTTTAAAGAAAATAGGGGAAATGTAGCTCTTACATCAGATCTACTGGTAGTCTTGAAAAACTACTTTTGAAACTAAAATAATTTAGATTGTAAGGCTCAATGTTATTTTTTGTCAACTGATGCGCATCATGTTCTTCGAATCTCCTCCAGTTTTTGGACTTTTCATGGTAGGAGACCCCAGACTCTGTTCATTAGGTCGCCCTGACAACACGACCAAGTCGCAAAGACTAGGTCAAATCACACTTCTATGGGAGTTTTGATGCAGCTTAAGAGAGGTTTGGACCACAGGCAGCCATCTTTTTCAGAGTGAGAAATTATGATTTGAGATAAAAAGGCACCAAAACGCTAAGCTTGAGAAGGTGATCCGAGGGCCTATTAAAATATTCCAATGTTCCCAACTCCGAAACAATCCCTCTTTGTCCAAGTTCAGACAATTTCTAACCACAGGAAGTCGAAAAATAGCACTTAATAGTACCTTTATTATAAAAAAAATGATGAGGCACAAATAATCATAATTTATTAGGCGCCTATGAAACATCAGCCTTTCTCATTAACTCTTTAATTTACTCTAATGTAGTTAGAGCTGAGCAAGCTCAAACTAATTTCAAATTCAGAAATCACTTCCATTCATTCATCAAAAGAAATGAATTATTATACAGACCAAAATACCCTAATTTAAAGATATTTTTAAGTCACCTACAGTTTTCGATTAATCTTGTCTGTTAATCAGACCCCCAATGACAACGACTAAATTGGTACCAACAACACTCTATTATTATATCGAATTTGTGAGAAAACTACGCGATTTATGATCCTTAAGATGGTTACCATTAAGAATCGGAATTTGCTAAGGCCTGATTTGCCGTGAAAGTCATTGAGCCTGCAGTTCAGATTTTTGCCTCTCAATCTGCAATCCACGTTTCGAATCCCACTGGGGGTGCTGATGAGACCGCGGCGAGGTCGAAGAATCAGTCTATTCTGGGGTTAAACAATAGATCCAAAGCAGCTTAACTTCAGTTTACGATAAGGCCAATTAACGAATGTTTGTCAGTCAAATCTTGATTGATATGAAAAGTTCAATGGCATTAAAGGTATTCTCAGGCTGGACGATAAGACCTTTTGGAAAGCAAGGCTATGCGAAATGGAATAGAAACTAGAGGCTAACTTATATCATTCTGGACGATATAAACTACCAGTCGTTCATCCTCTTGAACAAAACAGGATGAAGGCAGCTCTTATGCAATCAGCACTAGTACCAATTAACAGAGTGACAATTGGCCTTTGATAGAAAAAAACCGATCGTAATTTAAGGTAATTGGAGCCCCTATTTCATATGAAAAGTTGGCCCCATCGAATGCCTTGTTATTGTGGATGTTAATTTTGGTGAGGTAAACTCTCAGCACACCAGCATGCGATACTAAAGAACATTTGCCAATTTGTATGTCCTTTACTTGTGGACAATATCAGCAGAAGAAAGAATTACTTGAACTGCTCCTCAAATAGGTCTATGTCCGAAATGGCCTCCCACGCATAAACCTAATTTGATCTACCATAAGTTGATTCTGTCGGCTATCTGATACCACTCTTGGCCTGCGTAAGAATGAGTGAAATTAATGCCAACCCAACATCGCACATGAGATAAATTGTGCAACCACCAGACCATCATTCGAGGAGAGATACCTGCCATCAATCAGCTGGTCAATAAAATGGACTTGTAGTGTCCCTAAGTTGAGGACACCTTTCTCGACAGTAGCATTGTCAACATACCTGACAACCTATTTGGGGCAGCAAAGTCGTCGTAATCCGACTCCTAGACGTCTGATAAAGAGGACCTGACTCGAGGAAGATGGGTAAGCTCGAAGACGAAAGAAGTTAGTGCAGCGGCCGTATATATCCAAGAGGTATAGATAGACAGGATGTCTATGTGCAGCTTGTATGGGGGTAGGGCGGGGACTGAGAAACCAAGACAGAAGGCTACATAATGGAGCAGCGCAGATAAGGTGCCAGGAGCTAATGCAGCATAGAGACGCAACGCGTTTATATTGTGCTCACTTCCTTTACGAGTAAAAGCGTGTGGTGAGCAGATTTGAAGGTCGATTCCATGAGGTGTCGACGGATTCCACTTGACAACCGTCGGTTGGACGTACTGACACAATCTCTTTCTATTCCGGTAAAAACGTGTCAAGCATTCCTCACAAAGAGAGCCGTTTTCACGAAAGCCACGGCATTTTATTCAGTTATGCTTACTACTCGGCCGAAAGTTGACCCAATATCCAGATTATGCTGCTACGGTGCAACGTGAGCATGCGATAGATTTTGGGTTGTAGAGACCAGCCTCGTCTGGGGTTAAACAATGTAATGGGGTGCACGGTGAGTTGAAAGGCTAAATATGGCATTCTACTCAATAAATCCTGAGCAGCTTAACTTCAGTTTACGAATGTTTGTCAGTCAAATCTTGATGAATATGAAACGTTAAATAGCATAAAAGGTATTCTCGCCCTGAACACAAAGTGCCTCTAGAGGCTGTTGTGTTAACAGAAAATCAAAGGTAGGGCAGCACATGGCAGAAATTGGACGTGAGATCAAAAGGTGACCAAACCATGTCATAAGTAAATGTCAAGAAGACTAGAAAATAAGTCAATTAGGAACTACTCATGTTCGCTAAGGAGGCGTTTGGCCGTCTGAAAAAGGAGACTCAACATAACTTATGTTGGCAACGCTAATCACGCAGTAGTTCACTGCTCTTGCACACAGACAAAAGCTCATCAACTTATTGCGGAATGACGCTCCCTTTCGAGGGAAAAGTTGGTTGGAAGGAATTCTTGATCTGGTCTCACCGGAAATCGAAGCAGGATTGCCGCGTAGTGAAGACTGTTGTCATGCGCGAATAAGTCCTCGGCTCACCGTCCTGTGGCCCCGATGAGTCTTTATTTAGCTTTCGCCAGTACCACCGTGAAAGAAATAATTTTATAAAATAGCGAAAAGATTTATACTAAATCAAGAGAATATAGTTTGCTCTATGACAGGTTAGCAGAGGTTCATCCGGATCAAAGGATGGTGAGCCAAGGAGTCTTCGTACAGTCCAACGGCCCTCACTAAGCGACAATCTTCCTTCGGTTTTCGGTGAGATAATTTCACGAATTCCTCGCAACAAACTTTTTATGAGATGTATTCAACCCTTTTCGTTTAAGGTGATGAAGGAGGACTGGTAGTAGAATTTGTTCACAATTAGTTGAGTAGAGCTGACGTTTCCATTGAATTTCACATAGCCTCGCTCTTCCAAAAGTTGTAGATTGGGAGCTTTACACGTTGACGACTCGACTACATGGCCACGAGTGCATTTGGGTCACAGGGCAGATGAGCATTTTAAGGAAGGCCAGGCCTTCTGCCATACCACATCGATGAAGCAAACGTATATTTGCTATGACAATCGATTATGTTACTTATTTTTCATATGTAAGTAGACTTTCAAGACTTCGAGTAAATCAGTAATATGAGATGTATTCACCCAATTTCGTTTAAGGTGATGAAGGACTGGTAGTAGAAATTTCCCACAATGATATGAGTAAAGCTAAGGCTTCCATTTAATTTCACATAGCCTTGCTTTCTCAAAAGTTGTTCTCATCCAGGGTGGACTGTAATGGAAACGTCAGCTCAGC